TCAGTTTACACATAGTAAAAAAAAAAAAAAAGATATTATAGCCGACAATACTGTAGTATATGCAGTGAATGGTTCCTACCGGAACACCCCCAGGCAGTTTGTGTAGTTGGTATGACCCGGGTTTTTTTTTTTGTTGTTGATTCTAAGTTCGCTAGTAAAGTGTTCAACACCAGGCTAACTCCCTCGTGTATGTGTCGTTAATGATAACCAAAGATTAACAAAGACCACAACAAATACTGTAAATGTCACACATACACCTTGGGCGCTTTCCGCGGTCCAACTTTATCACTGAGGTAACGTTATAATGGCAGAACGCCAGGTCAGGATTTACACGAAAATAAGCGTGAAAAAATCAATAAGAGGAATCGGCACTTTAATTTTATAACAATAAATCCGAATCCTAACCTTGGATGTCCGATTTCAGGATACATTTATCGATTATCAATTCCTAACCCCTGTAAGTCATAAAATAATGAACGTGCAGGCGCTTCCACCGACTTAACGTGGTAAATAACAAAATGATTAGACCATTTTGACCGTATAAGAGGTTACATATGAAATATATGTTAATAAAATCACATTTAATCAAGTAAGGCTATCAACATAAAAGAAATCCGCGTCTGACTTATACAGACGTTATCGAACATTCCGCGGCCACTTCTTTCTAACGGTAATCTGTTAACTCATATGGTTTGCATAAAAATATGAATTACTAACCAGATGTATGGCGAAAACGTTGCCGACCGACAGCGACGCGATGCACGGCCTGCGTGTTCTTACAGAGGGAAGGGAACTGAAGAGTTCTTCATAAAATGGCAGCTTGTGGTTATTTTTCGCGGTCATTTCGTACTAATGTATTTGAATTTACAGTAACATGCCCCGAAATGGCTACATTGAAGAGTAGCCTATCATATACATGTTATATTAAAATGTCGAATATATTAAATTGAATATAGAAATCGTGGTCAGCTATTCTAAATAACTTTAAAGTTATTATTAGCTAGAATCCGTTTGCATACACATTATAAGAATTATTACTTACCAGATGAAGAAGTTGCAGGTCGGCAGAAAAGACAGCAGCACCACTGACACGACAGAGAAACTCTTCCAAAGTCAAATATGCTCTCATGCACACCCCACTGACATAAATTATGTCATAAATTATGACTGTTAATGGTCAACCAGTGCTACATTTTTATTTTAAATGTAAGAATAACATTAGTAGGCTAGCAATTTTACCCGTGGAACTGTGTGTGGTGTTTTTCGCGGTCAATTGCACTGCTGTATTTAGATTAACAGTAACTGATAATTTCCCAGAATGCATTGCAATTCTACAGTAACATACTGTCAACTGTGTGCACAGTACATAACTGTTGAAAAAACAATTTAATACTGTGAAAACAACTAAATCTACTGTAACTTACTGTACATAGATTATACAGTAAGAAACTGTTGAGAAAAACAGTATAATCCTGTGAAAACAACAGAAATCATTTACAGTGTACCCACAACCCATTGTGCTTTGGAGGAGGATTCAGTTCAAAACTATACAAACATGAATAAAAAGTGTTAAAAGCTACGAAAATGTTGAATGTGGGCGACTGACGGTTAAGTAGAGAGGTTTAGATAAAGGAGTTAGTGACTAATTCTCAAACATTTAATAAATGATAAAAAATATATATTTTATGTTATCTGTGTTATATTACATCTGCAACAACAATGTGAACTTTTCTAAAGATCCGTTTGGCCATTAACTTATGCAAAAATATGAGGAGAGACCCCTGTATGAAAGACCCACGACTGGCAGATCATCGTGCTACTTATTTTCTCTCCGATACAGTAGAAATTAAATTAAATGTGGATGTTAATTGTGAGAAAATGATTGACAGGATAGTTTACGGTGACAGGATGCATGTAAAGAGCACCCATTAAAGATGCAATTTATGAAATTATGTTGCATATACTATAAACTATACTCACTTACTATATCGAGACATTCTGAATTCAGCCACACCCATAAAACAAAATTTGTCTTTGTCACTTTGAAGGAGTTTGTGATTGTTTTGGTCTGTTGCTTAGAACTCCGTATTGAAGAATGTTTCAAATATCTGTGGCTAAAATGAATAGGGAAAATATTACCAAAATCAAAGGTGCTGAAATACAGAAAATCACTCTTGCAGGTCCTCCATTTACCTCATTCTGTTTTTCTGCTGTTATGTGTTGGCAAGACACTCACATTGTCAATGTGTATGATAATAACACATTTAAAGGACAACTTCACCTCTGGAAAGATGAATGTGTATACAAAATGGGTCAATTATGTTGAAGAATTGTGAAATCTTTTTTTTTGAATTTGGAGCTTTCTAGACTGAGAAAAGCCACATAATGTAATTTTGGCTTATGTAGAAGACAACAACTCCCAGAATGCACTTGCTTCTCTGAGGCCACGCCTACCGGTAACAGAGCGCAGTTGTTAAACAACAAGTCTAAAAAGTAAAGTAAATTAAAAAAGTAAAGTAGTCTCACTTTTAGTTACGTCTTAACTATTATAATATTTCGAAGGGCAAAAACATGAACTTTAAGCATTGGCTTTACTTTTTCCATCAGCTGTCAATTCAGCGCGAGGGCAGTAGCCTAAGACAGTAAAAGGCAGTAGCATAGCATTAGCAACTCAGCTCCACCCGGGCCGCGTCCCGCCTCTTTGCCCATTTTAATTTATCCGGTAGTGACGAGAGGTGACGCACTGCCAAGATGACGACGGCCAGTCCCGCCCACTTTAGACTTCAAAAACGCTCTTCAGAAACCTATGGGTGACGTCACGGATACTACGGCCATATTTTTTACAGTCTATAGGCTAGGGCCATGTGGAGAATTGCGCGAGGCCGGTGGCGTACTACCGATGAGCGACACATGTGAGACACACCGGTCTCGTATCTCTCACGGAGCAGAGGGGATTTTCTTAGCAATGTTAAAATGCACATCAACCCATCACTTGTTTAGCGTTCATGTAAACACAGTCATATGAATGGCGACTGCAGAAAGCAAAAGCTGAATCCCAGACATCGAGGGCTGGACATGTCCAGGGAAAAAGAGGATGGTAACTCCTACTACTCAGCTTTCTCCACAGAACAGAGCATGCTAGCTTAGCTTTAGAAAAGATGTCTAACACTACATTCTGTGAGTGAGATCCCACCCTCTATGGGCGGGTTGAGAACATGTGGAACAGCCTCAACTACTGACTGTAGTCTTTAGCCTCTGGCCAAATAATCCTCTGATGATGCAAAATGATGATTTTTGCGTCATCTGAGGGATTTTTTCCATACAAAAAAATACATAAATCTCTCGTCTCAGGGGGATATGAGGATGGAAAGCATGGTCATTTGAAATACTACAGGTTTTCTACTAGTACAAAGCTTAATGCTAAATCCTGAAGTTTCCCTTTAACACACAAACAAAAATGGAGAAGGTAATGTGTGGCAAGTTCAATGTAAAAACAACCTATCAAAATTAGCGTATGAAGCAAGAGAAATATTGAAAATAAATGTATGTTGAGGTGTGTCTTCTGACACATACTGTACATTTTTTTTATTTAGCTTTAATTTAGTTTTATTTCAGTTTTAGTAATTTTAGGACTTGCCAAGACAACATTTCTCATTTTCATTCAATCTTTTCATCTATGGCTGTAGGTTTTGAAATCGCATCATTCCCGTCTTCAAACTGTGGTCTGCCATTGGTCTATTATGATGTTATTTGCCACTGTAATTTTAGTGCAGGGTGATGGGCATGTAATAGAAGTGTGTACTTGTTATTGTAGATTTAACAGTCACAGGGTTCATTGTCAATTTTCATTAATCCTCTAAAGACTCGGCTGATTTCACAGAGAGAGCAGATGTTTACAGCTGTGTCTCAGAGGGTTGTGTGGGGTTAACAGTGGCCAACCAGTCTGAATGTCACAACATGTTCAAACGTCCTATCTGCTCTTTCTCTCAGTCCAGTGGGAATCAGATTTACAGGGAAAAGAATTGACTTTCATGTTGATTCTCTTTTCTGCTCTTTTGCTTTCTGTCCTTTGCCTAATATCTTTGTGTAGGGCTGTGTTGGTCTATTGTTTTTTCTATTTTTGAGTACAGATGCACAAATATACTCTAAAACTCCATGAGTATCTACATATTTAAATGTAGTAAATCTGACCTCTAACCGCTGAGTCTACTGTGTCATACATACAAAAGTCATACTGCTTTTTGAAGAGCTGAGGATCACCACCAACACCCGCCACTGTAGTGATCATTTTACATGGGATCGTTTTATAAACTTTCGTCGGAGACAACTGGGATTCACTGACAATCCACTGTTACTGGTGAACGGGGCCGAACCGACTATCTCCCGCCTCAGCCTTCATCCTACCGTCCCGAAAGCAGTTTAACCTAATATCACCGTCGGCACCTGTCCTGCGAGTGGGTGTGGTTTCAACGCAGCCAGCGGACACGCCCCCAGCGTTTAAGAGCAGAGATAACTGCTCATTTTTTCAAGATTTTGATGGCTTATTTTATGTACTTGCCGGCTTTTTATCATTCAAATTTGACTGGGTGGCTAATTATATATATATATATATATATATATATATATATAATTATAAATATTTTTCTGTGGTGTGACAAACTCAGAACACATACTTAATTTTGACTTTACAGGGACTTTAAACTTAAATTTAAGTTTAAAATCTAAAATTTAAGTAGCTTTTTAAAATGTGCTTTAGAAAAAAAAAACAGAACTGTTGTGCATTTTGAGACAAAACAATGGCATGCATTTTAGTCTGTGACTAGGCTTAAGCCTTGTCTGTTAAACCGGGCATTAGTAGATTAATATAGTGTTACTCATTCTGTATAATGCACTCATTCTTGAACCAATAATGGAAACAAACATCATTGAAAAATAATTTCAATCCAGACAGATATGGATTTCCATTACTAATGACATTTCTTGTCTCTCTCTTTCTCTAGATGACTCTCTGTCTGACATGTTTATGAAGTCATCGCCAGGAGAGGGTGATCTATACACCTCTCTTCTTTCCTCAAAGTCCTCCTCCAATCCTTTTAATGATGGTGCCTCTCTCTTCTCCTCTGAGGGCAACCGTTCTCCACCTGCTCCCACTGGAACCGACTCTGGAATCGCCATGACCCCAGGTGACCCCTCAGACCATCAGACAACCCTGCAGGGCTCACACAAGGCTGACCATTACAGCTACATGGACATGGGGGATGATCTCTGTGATTTTGGTAGTGTGGGCAATGCCAAAAACAAGCAGCAGCCTCCAATGTCTGGCTATGGAGATGACGAAGATGATGAGGACGAAGACGAAGATGACATCCAGGACTTCAAGTCTAAGATTCATGAAAAGGATAGTAAGGAATCCAGCCATGACCCCTTCGATCTGGGTCGCTATTTGGAGAAGAGCCCTCTTGGATCTGAAGAAACGAAGGTGAAGAACAGTCAGGAATCGGCCGGCGGGCAGCATGCCTTTCCATACGTGGAGGATCCTTCGGATGAAGAGATGGCAGATTTCCGATCGTACCGTAGGATGGAAACGCCACAGAGTGCTAGTCCTGTAAAGATCACCGTGACAACAGAGTCCCACTCTGCCACGACCCAGCCAGTGAGAGAGTCTCCACAAGGGGGCATGTTCGAGAGAGAGAGTGTGCTCAGTTTTGGTCAGCAGGGTCTTCCCACTGTAACATTGTCAGAACCAGAGGACGACAGCGCGGCCTCGTCAGCTAACCACTCCCCGAACCACTCACCTACAGGTAGATCCCTCCCACTTGTGATTGAGAATTGAATTGAACTGAATTGAGAATGCTCTTTATATTAAATCCATTTCTGTATTTAAAGTGAATTTAATTAGGGGCTGCAAACCGGATGTAGACATGATGTAGCCTGGCTAGCGTTAGGCCGCTTCTCATTGAACTTGAGACGTGGTCTGGGAACCACAAAATTTTCTCGAATTTGAGGCGTGGTTTACGAATGCCCAGAGACGTTTATTGGGCACTACGAATGTCCAATGTCCAAGCTCATGGCAAATCGTTTCAAGTATACCAGATGATGTATGTAGAGCGAAAGAAATTAGACGAGGAAGAAGACAATGCGGGTCAGAGATTTATTAACATTATCCAAGGCTGCATCGAAGGTAACTTCACGTCTCCTGCCATGTTTGATCCATGATCCGTTCTGTGATTGATTGGTGAGGTGAAAATTTGCTCCATGGTATCCAGACTGCCTAGTAGTGTGAATAAAATCGCTTAACCAATTTTTTTTAACTCGAAAAGCAAAGTTAAGTCAAGACTAGTTATTAAGTAGTTTGAATTTGAAGCTAGTTATGGGCAGTATATATGAAAAAAGTTTAATAAGAGATGCTCAACCAACTGAATTGTTAGTTCATCCAAATGGAAGAAAAGGGGTAACATTCACTCTTGAAAAAAGTTTGAACTTTATTAGTTTTAAAGGGATGTTAGGCAATTTCGTAGAGGCTAGCAATAGCAAGATAGCTTTGAAAGCTTTAGATCCCACTCTCCCTTCAGAGTGTCTGTAAAACCACCCCTCCTAACACATGAATACGCAGGTCATACACGGCCAAAGAAGATTCTGCAACGTGCCGTGAGAGACTATGTTAAATTACCTCATGTCTCAAATCATATACCATTACAATAAAGTTTTTTTATTTGCTTTGGTGGTACTATTTTCACAAGTAAGGTGTACATTTTCAAAAACCGAACATGCTTGTAACACAGCTAATATTTCTTTCAAAACCTGATCCCATGCTTCCATTACAACATATTTCAGTCCACATAATCATGATTTCAAACACAGGATTATTGAACAATGTAATTAGACCATTTGGTCTAATCACCGAAACACAACAGTATGATCTTCTTTCAATTTAGCACTTTTAACAATCAGTTCTTTCCGCAGCAAACGATGCAAGATATATGTTTCAAATCACCCTTTTTGCTAAAATAATTACAGTAACACAAGCTTCAGATGCCACATTTACTGTAAAAATACACTTACATTACATAACTTGTGTAACATATAATCCATAATGTTTTGAATAGTGTCTATTCAGTGTGTTATCAAACGGTGTGATGAAGTATGACACTGCCATGTGGTTGTGCTAGAACAGAGTTTGCTGGCAATATGTTCTCGCTGTATACCATATGACTGAATCTATACTGTAGTTGACCTTTACAGATGAAGGGTGATTTTCAGGAATGTGGCAGTCTCTACCATGGTAATCTGGCATACTGTTATGTAAAAAGATGTATTTGATGCCATCTGTCTCCTTTGGGCCTTGATTCATCTCTGATCAGGCTGATGTTACACACACAGTCATTGACTGTTTCCTCTACCCTGTACTCTATATTGCTCTATGTTCACAAATGGCAAATTTCTCTCTCTCACACACACACACACACACACACACACACACACAAACACACATTTGTGTGCACACTAAACATAGTGGTGGTGGTGGTCAATTTTCTAAAAAGAATTTATTACATTTGGTTATTCATATCAGAAAAGATTTATATAGAAACTGTCTATGGAATCAATATCTATAGTAGGGCTGTCAAACAATTAATCGTGATTAATCGCATCCAAAATAAAAGTTTGTGTTTACATAATATGTGTGTGCATTGTGAATAATTATTTTATATATATAAATACACACACACGTTATATATATATATATATACTGTATATAGATTTATATATAATTTATATTATATATAAATATAAATATTTTATATTTAAATAATATTTTTTTCTATGATATACATGCATGTGTGTGTATTTATATACACAAAATAATTAGACACAGTGCACCCACATATACAGTATTATGTAAACACAAACTTTTATTTTGGGTACGATTAATCACGATTAATTGTTTGACAGCCCTAGTCTATAGAAATCTATAGGTATACAAAACGATTAATTGATTAATCATTAAGTTCAGTCGGATTAAATGTATCAAACTGAAGAGATGCAGTTTAAACGAGAAGAGATGCAAATAAAATGTTTGATTAGTAAGAGCGTTACAAAAGGCAGTTAATAAATATATAATATATAACAGTAATAATAATAAATATATAATATATAAATATTAATAAATAACAGTGAATTAAATATATATATGAAACAATTATTTTTTGTTGTGAAAAGGATCATTTGTGATTTTGTGTATTGTATTTACACAATTGATAAGTGCAAAAATGTTTGAAAAAAAAATGCACTTTTGATGATCTGTTGTCATATTAGCACAAAAGTTTTGAGAATGTACAACTTACTTGTGAAAATATTATCAAAGTGAATAAAAAAACGAATAATGAACGTAAACAATCCGGACTTGTACCACCTGACTGCTGCAGATTAATTTTGCCCTTGATAGTGTTGCCAGAGCAATTAATAAATCCGAGTCTGAGGACATGACTGCTCCGGGAGGAACTTCACTGGTTGCCATCTTGAAATTATGGTTACGACTTGGCGTGAATGCAGCATAAGCTCGTTGTTTTTATTCAAGAGGAATTGTAAAATTCTACAACTCTGCATACTGTAGCCTTTCAGAACGCGCCGTTCACATCAGATGTCTGCATGAGCAGGGTGCCAGGAGGTGTGGAAATTAGTAAATACATATGTTGACAAACAGGTGGGACATCGACACATCGTATCATTGCATTCTGACCGAATGCAATGATTGGACAAAAATATTTTGGTCCTGAGACTTCCACAGAAGATATATATATATATATATATATATATATATATATATATATATATATACATATATACATATATACATGTTTTAAAATGTAGACCAATTCAATTATTGATTGTTATCAGGAAGTGAAGGAGGTTTCATCCAGAATGACAAAAAGCCTACTCTGTCAAGGCGACATAGTACTCAGACATAGTAATGGAGAGTATGACAGATAGATAGATAGATAGATAGATAGATAGATAGATAGATAGATAGATAGATAGATAGATAGATAGATAGATAGATAGATAGATAGATAGATAGATAGATAGATAGATAGATAGATAGATAGATAGTGTGAAATACAATCAAATTCACAAACATTCAATCATTGTGTCATGAGTTATATGAGACATTTCTTCAATTGTGATTTCTATATTTTGGATAATTATTTATACAAATATATATATATTGTATTTATTTAGTTAGTTGACAAAACCGTTTTAAACAGTTTATTTCTCATAATTGCAACAAATTATTTTATCTCAATAATATTTTGTACTAATATTGAGGCATAAATGGGTATTAGAGTCATCTGGAATGTTATGGTCTTGCCTCTAATTAATATTTTTAGTACATATTTAAAAATTATAATGCATATTATATTTGTTCCATCATATTTTAGTCTTTCTTAAATTCGTACATTTTGTTAACTTACCTCAATCCTCTTTTTCAGGTCGCGAGTCTCCATCTGATGTGCTGTTCCAGCCTGCAGGAATGAAGTCTGTGAGCTCCACCCAAGATTCCAGCAGCATCAGCTCTCATCCCAATCTTCCTGCAGCCCAGGACATCAAGAGTTCAGCCAAACCCTCATCCCCGTGGGATCAAGACCTTCACGGCAGCGAAGACGAGTCTGGAGATTCAGAAATTGAGCAAGTGGCTGAAGATTCTGATTCGCCGATACACGACTTGACATCAAAGACCCCGCCCACAAAAGGCGGATTCAGTCCAGCAAGCAACCCATTTGAGCAGACCAGTTATACATCTGCCACTGATAAAGCTAGTAACCCATTTGACAAGCCACAAACCAACAAGGTCAGTGTTAGTAACCCATTTGAGCCACCTGGGGGAACCAAGGTGGGCTTTGGTCAATCCAGCAACCCTCCACTTTATAGTCTGTTACGTGAGGAAAGGGAGGCGGAGCTCGACAGCGACCTGCTAATCGAATCGGCTTCTGAAGAAAGTCCCAAGAGGGAGCAGGAATATTCTGCCCCAAAACCTCCTGAAACATCATCTCCCCTGACTACAAGCGTCACATCCTCGAAGCCCATCACAACCTCCTCCCCTCCGACCTCTCCCTTCAACGACCCCCCAGCCAACACCCTGAGAGAAACAGAGAAAGAAAAAGAGAAGGAAAAGGAGAAAGCAGTGCCTGTTGAGAAGCCCAAGCCGCAACCAGAGGACGGCTGGTCCACCAAACCCAGGCCTGCAGTAATGGGAACGTCTACAGTGACTCCGGAGCAGAACTCAGGCCAGGAGAAGGAGAATAAAAGCAAAAGCAATATTGTGAGTTCTACCACAGAGAAAGAGGCTGATCTGTCCTTGTTACTCCATAACTTCAGCAGACAGAAAGGTAAGATATGCTTATTCTTCCTCCAAGCAGTGTTGTTTATAATCATTTAAATAATATAATGATATTAAATTGGTAATGAAAAGGCATTTTATATACAAATAATGCATGTATAATTAATAGAGTTTCAAGTAAAAAATAGTAGTGGACACTAGTTGTTGTTGTTTTTTTTTGTTTTTTTTTCACTTAGTAGGTACGGGTATGGCACAAAATTAATTTCCGATCCTATAACATTGCTTTATAACCATGGGTGCTTTTAAAACAACTAATTAAAATGCTAAAAACAACACACACAAAAAAACACAACACACAAAAAATGTAAACCCCCTCCCCCCGCAATAAACACATTTTTTATTGAAAAAAAAAATCTGAATATTGAATTTAGTCAATTCACCACATAAATACAAATTCAATTCTTTCTCCGCCAAATTCTAGCAATGGCAGGGAAAGAGTTAATATATCAACACCCCATTTTCTGTTTATAAGTATGTTTTAAATAATCATAATTACAGCATAAATGCCAGAGAAAATAAATTTGCCAATAGGGGGGTCCTTTGAATATTGTGCTGTGACAATGGGAGGCCTTGGTGTCAAAAAGGTTGAGATCCTATAAGTTGAGAGCTCTACAGGATAGCATGTTTGGAAGCCAGCTAACATTAGCGCTGTGACAGAGAACATCCACTGATGCCTGACACTGACAGCTGTGATGAGAGGTGGTGAGTGTCCTGAACTGATGAAGTGATGATGTAGGAGTACCAGCTCATATCCTGTTTATCACCAAATGGCATATCTAAACACATTCATTACAAAAAAAATATTTTTAATAGATCCTGTGATGCAGTATATCACCATAATGGCTTACACGAGAGGTAGTTTACATAATTTAGTTTACAACATTTTCTACAAGTATTAAAAACGTAAACTACTAGTACCCACAAGTTCACTTGCAGTACGAATGAGAAACGTTATTATGAACTAGTTGTGCACTACACTACTAAGTGTACTACTGTTACACTTATAGTACACTTAAACATATACTTTTATAAACAGAAAGTGTGCCAATTTAGTCCCAAGCAGTATTACTGTAAAAAAAAAGAACACTTACAAGTTTACTACTAGTCTAGTACATATTGACATTAGTATAATATATACTAATAATATATACTTGAACTTGTGCTAGTTGTGTTCAGAGTTTTGAAAATGTGATTACAGATTGGACAAAAGGATGTTACATGTTAGCAATTAAAAAAAACTGTAAATCAGTACAGTTACAAGTTTACTGCTAGTATATATTGACATTACTAATAATATGTACTTGAACATTACTTAAGTATACTTCTTTTTCGTAAGGGATAGGTTAACAATTCGACTAGAATAAATAAATTCCCATTTTCTATACATATATGCATTGTAGCCAATAAATGCTTGTTTATAACTAAAGATTATTACTAAAGATAGATTATTAGATATGACAACATGGTCCTTTGAAAACGTTATGAAACCAGTTTCAATGTGAAGCCATGTTTTTGAAGTCATTGACTGGCCAGGCAGGCACACAGCCACAGACTGGGTCGACTGAGTCTGAATTAGGGGATAATCTCCCTCTAGTGGTGGGTTTAAACAACTGCAGTGTGGCTTATTTACATAACTTCCCAATAACAAAGAGCCAGCAGAAAAGCTCTAGTGTACCCTGACCCAAAAAGATATTACAGCTCCTGTGGTGTGGTATTTATCATTATTATCTTTTGTGAGTTAAAATCTAAACAACACATCTAAACAACATGGAATGAAGTACTGCTGTTGCTCATACTCTGTAGACTAATCAATACAATTGCAAGCCTTTATTTGGATATGTGTGGCAGGAGTGAAATTATATTCTGTTGGGTTTATGCACTTGTTGACTCCAGAACCAGAACACACATCTCTAAACATGCTCTTCTCTGGAGTCAGTCACCCTCTCAACAAGCGTTTGCGTGAACCTGAGAGCCATGCAATCATGACAGCGGTGGGAGGAATGACCATTAGAACAAATTAATGTGGTTTTGGATCAAATTGTTCTCTCCAGAAAATCAGATTTTATAGCTTGTTGTATTTTTATTTAGTTTTTATGTAACTCTCTTGTAAAATGGGGGCAGTGCATGCACAAATGATGATACAAACATGTTTTTCCTCATCATTTTGTTATTAATTCATTTGCTATGTTGCTTCGTTCATTCATTTCTTTATATTAAAGGTATAATATGAAGAGTTCAGATGCAAAAGCCTCTAAATGCCATTTGAAATTTTCATGACCATTTTTATCAAGCTTGTATATTTAAGTTCAGTAATTTCACTTAAATGACAATTAATAGGTAATCTTCATTGCCATTTAAGTGAAATTACTGAACTTAAATATACAAGCTTGATAAAAATGATCATTTTAGAAGAAAATTTCAAATGGCACTTAGAGGCTTTTGCATCTGAACTCTTCATATATTAGGTTGTATAACATACTTGTGTATATCTGATGTTGTGAATTGCGTTTACACACACACACACACACACACACACACACACACACACACACGCACACACATATTCCATTCATTGTCTGGTGAGTGAAACTGAAGGTTCTGGAATGTTGGAAAAAGAGGTCAACGCCTTTTCTGCAGCTCTCCCGTAGATGCCCTGCAGAGGGCGGTAGAGACTGCAGTTTTATGTAACAAAGCTTTAGGTTTTTTAAGTGAAATACTTTATTTGTACATTCCCAACAGATCGCTCTATAGTGGTGAAGTATATCGTCACGTGAATGGGCGGGGTGTTTTTTAATGGGGTGATATTAAACCATTAAAACAACTATCACACTGCAATTCTTACTGAGACAATCTGATCTGGATCAGCAGATCAGCCTGTTGCCATAGTAACACGGGAGGCAGGGAGTTTAAACTGTTACCCTGGTGAGCGCTTTGTGGGAAGATGCTGTGGCCTATGGGAAACAGAAGACGATGATGATGAAAATGAATAACACTGAAATCGTCAAATACCAGACCTTATGTAAAAAATCACTTTTTGTTTCTCTGTTGTAATGAGAATGTAGCTCTATTAATATTTGTATCTCAGTTAACTCCCAGTTAGCCTGCTAAGTATGTACGATTGTTTCAGCAACGGAATTATTAGTTTTAAAGCCCAATTGCAGGATATAAACTAACGTTAAACAAACGTTTTATTCAGTAGCTTCAGACCTTGTTCACTACAGCGCCATCTTTGATTTTTAACTGTCTGGAACATCATGGACAGTAAAAGAGGTCTGCAATGGAAGCGAGACAGCGAGGGATAGACTTACCGTGTTTTCAGTGGCATCTGCTGTAAAAGCTGCATGCTCCCAGATCACCTACGTTTTCTTGAACTTCCACTGAAGTTATTTCTACATAGATTTAACTACGCTAGCAGACGCTCAGTCAACTTTCTCTCGAGTGTTCATGGGCCTGATTCAGTGCTTTGACCGTTCCAATATGGCAGGCAGCGGCCCATATGAAACAGCCACTATGTATATATCAAATATATCTATATGTCTATCCCTCACCGCCTCGCTTCCATTCCCGTTAAAATAAAATGAAAAAAAAAAAATGGCGCTGCTGTGAATAAGGTCTGTATGAGCTGTGGAAAATCGTATTAAGGGCAATTAGACAAACCGAAAATTCTCGGGCCAGCAGCATGTGTCCAAATTTATATTTAATTAGAAACAGTCTTAAAACAGGTCTTTAAGTGTAAAATACCGAACTTGTCCTATAAGGCATAATGCAATAAAATAATATCATACCACGAAATAAATAACCCATCAGACTCCACCCATTTTTAGCCAACAACAATACCACTGAGGTCACATGACCATATGTTTATGGACGAGCTTTGTTGAGTAGGGTGGGGCCTCTTTGATCTGAATACCCCCCATCTCGCCCCGGGCGCTGCATATGGTACGATCCGCTCTCTGCGGTGGAGGAGGCTGCAGTGTTTACGGTTTCATCCAGCAGACCGCCAGCTCTATTCTCCTTCTCTTTCTCTGCCTGTTTCCTTACTGAGTAGCTGTAGCGTCCCTCTCCCCAGTGCTCTCTTCTCTCCTTTCTGGCAATTCATGCCTTTCGGAGGTGTGAGATAGTGGGTCTCGGGAATATAGAAGATCAGCGAGGGAAAAACGAAAGACGACAGCAGCGAGAGAAGCAACATAGGAGGGGAAGACATGGATAAAGGGAAGTGCACCTGGAGCAGCTGGAGAGGACAGGGTACAGATTTCGTGTTTGTCCGTGTAAAACTGTATTTTATGGTATTTATCTGCGTATACTATGCCATATATTTGAGTGTGTATTAGGTTTTTGCGTTTTACATGAAGCCCCAGCTTCCTCTCGGTCTCTGCGCTGGTGGGACAAAGAGAGGAGAGGCATCTGTTTTGGGACGAGGGCTAGCAGGTGGTCTGTCTGCTTCAGAGTAGTAATGCTGATATGGAAACCCCGCTGGTTCGTTAGATTAGGCTCCGGGTGCCATGATACAGAGTTCAGGCTGTTTTTATCAATCTCGGTTACAGCAACGCTAGATGAGGCTGTCGCTATAGCAACCAGGTCACACCCATCCTGATTACGTCATTGTCTTCAACAGGCATCCATGAAACCAAGAGAAGGAAGACATTGAACATATTGTTGATTACATTCTGTGTATTGTATCGGATAATATTATAAACATGACATCTCTATTTTTTGCAGTGATAAAAAAAAACTAGAGTGATAGAGGGATGGAAGAGTAGGAGTTTGCAAAAAAGAAGAGAAATGCATGATCCTTTTAAAAGAGAAAAACAAAACAGAAAATGGTTTCTGGTCTTTTCCAGGAGAATGGCAGGCACATTTCAAATGTCCATCCAGATAAAGGTAGTGCAGACATGGCATTTATAGATACTGCATTGTGTGAATGTTAGCAGCCTGTGTTTTTAAAGCTACAGTATTTAATTACGATTGTGTTTAAAGCTGAAATTGTTGTCTTTAACTAGGTGAGAAATTCAGCATTATAGTTAGCCTGAAACATTCTCAGTATTAGGTGTTCTGAATGGTGTCTACTATGGGGTCTCAAGTTGTTATATAGGGCGTTTTATTCATATATATATATATATATATATATATATATATATATATATATATATATATTGTCTGCTAACACTAAAATGTCTAAAGTAAAAACATTAAAACGTACCATAGTTAAAAACCTGTAATATTGATTAAATGCATTTAAAAACACAAACCAGCACACAATGAACACAACACACATCACCTGTGAAAGGTTATTCCTATTTCTTCGGAAAATTCAATGTTGTCGCATCATTTATGGTTACTATAAGTGACGGCATGCTGACTGTTCCAAGATGCAGAGGGTCGAATGTGGCATCTACATATCTATAGTTGTAGTCAGAGCCATGTAGTTAGTTGCTAAGTGGTTGGTCACTGGCAAAAGTAAATCAAGTAAAAAAGAGTTTATCCTTGCGGTCCCTAGACATATTGCAGGCCCCTTTAAATGTGTTTACAACTACAATACATAGTTAATAGGTCATTAATCTGTTTCTACCTTTATGCATGGAAATGGACATTTAACAACAAAAACATGAGTCGTGTCCCAAATGACATACACACTATGAACTTATACAATGCACCATTTACTCAATTGTCTAATGTATAAATTTAATGAGGAAATTTGTGATAGTTGAGTGTGTGAAGTGTCCAACATCCCACACATTTTGGGATGCACTTATGCATATTTTCTCTTTACACTTAATTACATTTTCTCTATATTTACATCTACTTGTATGACATCACTGTTTTCCCTGCAGGAGCATATGACATCACTATGAAATCATTTCTTGTTTTTGATGATTCATAATAACTCAGACCCTTCTAAATATATTCTTATGCACACGAGTGAAAACATTCAGTGCTGTATTGTTAAAACCACTCACAGACCTGAAGCCGAGGTTTCTTTTTTCTTTCAACTCATTTATACATATGTCTGTAGCTAATAACTTAATTAAATCAAAGCAAGTAAATAATCAATAGCTTATTAATGGATTTATTCTGATTACACATTTACACTTAACAAAACCACTGCTTAAGTTAAGTTTTGTTTATTAGACTTAAATGGAAAAGTGTACACAATACATTTGTTACAGTATCTTTACTTAGTTGTGTTTATCTGTATATATATAGCGGCATCTTGGAAAATTCAGTATAATAATAATAATAGGATTGGTCAAGAGTAGTAAGGAGTCATCAGATACATATCTCTGTTTTTCTTCCTCAAATCAGCTTGACCCATCCCTTTCCTCTCACACGATATGTGTTGCAAAGAAATTAATCATTAGGAACAAATATTCCCTCTAGATTTCAGTTATTGTTGTATCGTTTGGCGGGGCTGCTCAGTGCTCATCCTGTCCACTTGGCTTCTGTTTCCCGTTTAGCTCTGGAATTGCATGGTTGTGTGTGTGCAATTCTCTTGATTCTAACATATTACACATCTCGGCTTGCAGAAAATTGGATAGTTTTTGCAGTTCTTTTATTCAGATGAGGAGCCCAATATACTCTCAGTACCAGGATTGTGATCGCAGTAAATCTGCTGCCTGAGTCACCTATTTTTTTTTATTTATATGACAGCAGCCCAGATCATTAACCAATAAGCTACCTTCAACCCTAATTAAAACTTAAACTGGCACAAAAATGTGGAAAAAAACAGCATTGTTGGTGTGGATTCAGTGAAGTGCTACTTGTTTTAAAGGGACTGTTCAACCAAAAATGTTATCATCATCATTTACTCACCCTCATGTCATTCTAAACCTGCATGATTTTCTTCTTTGATGTATAAATTGAGGTATTGTGAAAAATGTCTCTGTGTTTTTTGTACAGTGGAAGGCAACTGTAATCAATACAGTTTTGATTACCAGCATTCATCAAAATATATTATTTTGTGTTCTGCAGAATAAAGAAAGTCATACAGGTGACGGCATAAGGCAATGATGACAGACTTGTCAATATATTACTTTTGTGGCAGGGTGAACAAAAACAAACACAGTGTGTGTGGCCTCTGGCCAGATAAAATATACATACAATATTAGAAAGGTGGAGAATAAAGTGTCTAATGGGAGGTAAATCAGTGTGGTAAATCACCATGCTTGGACATTGTGAAGGTCAGAAGTGCAGAGAAGAGTTTAAGGAGATCACACATGCTCCCTTTCTGGTCTGGGATGTATTTCACAGCTTAGCATTCTATAGTGCTAATTGATTAAGAAAACCTGTTTTGCTAAAACATTCGCTAAAACGTTATCCAGATGTTCAGCCATTTTGAATGAACATTCAGGCTTTCAGTCCCAATAGTGTGCATCAGTGCCTGCCCATTTTCTCGAGAAGGTCCTCACTGCAGAAAACGAAATCCAGGGGGAGGAGTTAGATCCAGATCCAACTCCTCCCACCTTACATGTACCTAAACCTTAACCCTACCCCTAACTCCACCCCTAATCCTACCGATCTCCACCCCCAACCCTAACCCCACCCCTAATCCTACCCATCTCCTCCCCCTGATCCCTAACCCCACCCCTAATCTTACCCATCTCCACCCCCTGATGTCTAACCCCACCCCAATCCTACCAACCTCACCCCAATCCTACCAATCTCCACCCCCTGATCCCTAACCCCACCCCTAATCCTACCCATCTCTGCCCCCTGATCTCTAACCCCACCCCTAATCCTATACATCTCCACCCCCTGATCCCTAACCCCACCCCAATCCTACTCATCTCCACACCCTGATCCCTAACCCCACCCCTAATCCTACCCATCTCCGCCTCCTGATCCCTAACCCCACCCCTAATCCTACCCATCTCTGCCCCCTGATCTCTAACCCCACCCCTAATCCTATACATCTCCACCCCCTGATCCCTAACCCCACCCCAATCCTACTCATCTCCACCCCCTGATCCCTAACCCCACCCCTAATCCTACCCATCTGCGCCTCCTGATCCCTAACCCCACCCCTAATCCTACCCATCTCCACCCCTTAGATCTGGATCCAAATCTGCCCCCTGGATCTTGTGTACTGCAATGAGGTGCTACTGATTTTCTCAGCCACCTTGTTTATTTAGAACTATTTTTCCCATTCATTTCTCCCATGGGGACTTTTAAAAGAACTCTTTATGAGTTATTAGCTATGAATTCCAATCAGCTACGAGGTGAATCACAGAAAGACAAATTCTTTAAGGAGATAAATAACTACAGTCCCATGGAGCATTGTGAATGACATAATTGAAATAAATATGATGGAGATATATAAAACTATTGATCTAAAGGTGTTTGTTATGTAAATTATAGATATTTTACATTTATTGCGCACACACACAAACACACATACACAGCAGGTTGTATTGTTTCCGGTTCAGGACTTTAGTACGAGCTTCAAATAAATATAGAGCTATTTTACTCAAGATAGCTTCAAAAGAGTGAGCAAAGATTTAGATATTTAAATTGAATAAAATGGCATCAATAAAAGAACTAGGCTAGCTAGGTTAGCTGATTACCTTAAATCCATAGATATCGCCATCAGTTCGTTCTGCCGTTACACTGCTGTGACACTTGCTCAGACAAGTGGATGCAATAAGTTTTTTTTAGTTCATGTGACATTCACTATTAAGCCTATGTAGTCTTTCACAATGAATTCTGCTGTTTAAAAAAAAATAAGCTGAAATAATGTGGGCTGATGGTCGGATGGCCTCAACAAAAGCATATGCCATCGCTTAATAACCTTGTATCTCCCAGTTGGCCTGTCTTTTTTTTTTAAGTTATTGTAATCAGTTCCCCTACAGAGAAAATAAAATTTACTAAATAATTTTTTATTTAAGTAGCCCTCAGGCTTTTGCTTGTGGCAATGACTTTTGCATTTAGGAAGTGAATAGTTGGATACAATCTCAGCCTGGGTGCCAAGCTCTCTGATGCTATTACACTCCGACATTTAAACACCATCACACATGCACACAATTACCCCCCACCACCACCTTCGTATTTTAAGCTGGCCCCCTAAGCAATGCGTGTAAGGAAAACTGGAACACTGTATCTATAGCAACTGCTGCTGCCCTCTTTCTTTCTTTTCACACACACATACAGTACTCGATGAAACAAGATGGACAAATTGGGTTCTATGATGGGTCACACATAATCCTGCTTTCGATTGTTTTTGTTCAATCTGAGCTATTTGTCACTCTGTATACTGTGTGTGTGTATGTTTGTGCGTGTATGTGTGTGTGTGTTTGTCTGTCCATTATTAGCCAATGGTAGTATGAGAAGGCCCCCCTCCCTCTCATTCCCTGCCTTTCTCTCTCTCCTTTTGTGTGCGTTCCCACTCACTGTCTCTCTCTCTTTTTCTTGCTGTCTGCAGTCATGGGTGGTTCAGGTCAGTATCTCTCTATGTCTTCTGTTAGTTTTGGTGTTTTGACACCAAAAACCAGGGGCCTCTGTGATAGTATTGATTTATGAGTCTGTAGTGATGGAGTTAACTGGTTTTAAAAGATATGTAAATGCTGTGGTGCTGTAGTGTTCATATTATAGAGCCCATGTTAAGTCACCTAACTACTGTATATTCTTAAACACTAATATTATATTAGTTGACATTAGTTAGTCAATGATGAAAGGTGTGTGTGTGTGTGAGGAGAAAGAGTGTGAAAGAGTCTTGTTCTATTTAAAGAGGTGGTTAACAGAAGGATTTCTCAGAGTAGGAAAGTGTATCATTATCAAGGGTTGTGTTTCTAAGTTGTTTGCTGTTTAACATTATTATTGATGAGAAATAATCAGAATTAAAACATAGTGTATCCAACTCAGTCAAATCTAAAGTCTGCTCTTCATCTTGGAGAAAATCATTTGGAAAAATCTTGAGATAAAAATGGCCGATATTTCTGCCCTACTCTAAGCTCTGCCGGGCTAAATTTAGCCCAGTGGGACCAATGGGAGGATCACGCAGGGGACTACAGATGTCTTGCACACGCTAGAGTGTGACAGACCTGCTTCAGTGAGTGTGTGTAACCGTTTCTTCCGAAGCTGCAACCAAAGGTGTAAAAATACAGGTGTAAAAAAGAAAGAAAAAACATCAGCTACAGGGAGCTCTCGGTTTCTGCAGAGACTGAAGAGATGATTCAGAGATCTCAATCTGCTGGTTCGCATGGCAACAAGTTAACAATTCTACTTGCTTCCGCGTTGTGATATTTGGGAAAAAATGTAAAGATGATTGTTTTTCCTCCAGTAGCCAGAGAAAAAAGATTATCTCACAAGCTTGCATTAAACCTGCTTGGATGAATAGGCTATCATAATAATTTTAAAAGAACTTGCATACAAGTTTGCAAAGAAGTATACAGTTTCTTTGATCAGACGAATGGAGCTTTTATTATATACAATACTATTCAAAAGTTTGGGGTCAGTAAGATTTAACAAATTAATACTTTTATTCGGCTAGGACGCATTAAATTAATTAAAACTGACAGTAAAGACATTTATGTTATAAAAGATTTCTATTTCATAAAATACTTAAACTATATATTCATAAAAGAATCCTTAAAGAATCGACAACTTATCAACATCTATAATAATAAAAATATATATTGAGCAGTATGTCAGCATATTAGAATAATTTCTAAAGGATCATGTGATTGAAGACAGGAATAATGATGCTGAAAATTCAACTTCCCATGACAGGAACAAATTACAGTTTATTAAAATAAAAAGCAGATATTTTCAATTGCAATGTTTCACAATATGACTCTTTATGATTAAATGAATGCAGTCTTGATGAGCACGAGACACATTAAAAATTCTTAAAGACCTAAAACTTTAGAACGGTACTAGTGTGTGTGTACTTAAGCATAGCTAAAATGCTATATTGAAAATCAACACACAGGACTTTAACCAACCCGCATCCAAATATGACTACTTCCCTGCTAAATATTATATGAAAAGCAATATGTCAAATCAGTAGAACTGGAGAATATTTTGAGTTTCTGCAGAGCAGTGTGTTTTCCGACCCATATTGAATATTATATTTGGTCAGCGAGTGTGCTTGGTTTTAATCTGTTCATATACTGTATGCTCTAGACTTTTGTACTTGGTAGACGACAGATATGCAGTGAAAAGAACGATGAGACTGATTTGTAGGTTTGCGGAGGATTGTGTGATGTCTGGGCGGGTAACCAAAACATTTGAACCCTGCTATTAGTGGTCCTTGAGCAAGACACTTAAGGTTGCTTCAAGGGGGATTACTCTTGTTACTTAAGATGGATAACTCTATAGTGATGTTGCAAACATAAATTCAACTCCCTTAAAGGGATATTCCACTTTTTTTTTTGAAAATAGGCTCATTTTACAACTCCCCCAGAGTTAAACAGTCGAGTTTTACCGTTTTCGAATCCATTCAGCCGATTTTCTGATGTTTAGAAGAATATCAGTAACCAGACAGTGGAGTATAAAAGTGGAGTATCCCTTTAATAGAGTAACAGTTAGATGAGGTTTTGCCTTTTATCTGTGTTATTTTACATTGTCATACTTTACCATATGCAAACTAAACCTGCAATTTTAGAATGAGCAGGTTCTGCGGTGGCCTAAAAGTGTACAACCTTAGTTCATGCGCCCCTTCATTTCACTGTTATGCCTCTTAAATTGAAGTTAATACAGTGAAGGCATATAACTCAATGTGTTATTATATTACAGCACTTCTGATAACATGACTAGTATTTGCACTGCACATGTCTTAGCTAACGTAAATAATTAACCCAGTAGAGTGTGTGTGCACGCAGATGGTTAGGGTTAGATACGTTGACAACAGGTGCTGTGAGAGGTAGACAGGTGTGAACTGATAGCCTCAAGGTTACACTTTTGCAAGATATGCAGAATTTCTACTGTACTGTAATACTATCTTTGTTTACAATTATTTGTATATGGAAAATGTAAAAAAAAAAAATCATGGAAATGTATTGATCAGAAAGTGTCTCTAGAATGGGACTCATTCACTCATAATTGCAGAGATAGATTATTCGTATTTATATGCAAAGGAGAACGTCTCACAAAACAATTCTGTCTAATTCACAACATCTATGAGTTTAAAACACCCATGAGTTTAATTCACAACACATCCATAGACCCATGAGTTTGTTCTCATCCTACTGCTAATGAATCTATAGTGTTCTAAATGAGCAACCATGTGTCTGAGGTGAGGTTAGTATTTACATAAAACACAGTCAAACCATCTCCATAGAAGGGTTTTTCTGCACAACCCTTCGTCTCTAAAAACTTGCTTTTATCAGAGAGCATGATGTGCAGAAAGACCCTTGAGCAATGCCAATTGTACCATCAAAACCAGTTCAAACACAGTAAGCACCGTTTACAGACTCAGATTAGCTAGCTGTAACTGAGTTTTTATGCAGCTCGAGCCATGATGCACCTTTTACTGTGTATAATATATGATGAAAACTTTTAAGATGAAAATAAATAAAATTGTATCTCTTAACACATTTCTAAAGCCACTCAGAGTATATCATTTTTGCACACTTGCGGTTTGTGTAAATTTAGTAATTGATGAATCATGATTTGTTTGTGAAAGCGTTCGTATGCAGATTTCACTCAAATGTTAATTTCATTTAGTAGTAATAAATTGCCAATGCCGTTAACGCTAATACATAGTGATAAGCAGCATAACACAAATACAAAACTGCTGCTAATTTGGGAGACGTCTACATAACCATGTTTTACAGGGGCATAATTTCTGTACTAAAATATAAAAAGTGCAGAGAAACTTGCATCCTGTGAATTTGTAGACATGGTGATGAACAATCAGGCGCATGCTGTAATATTTGTGCACAAAAGTACATAAGAACTGACCAGTGGATTAAACTCTTGTTTTGATAGTTTTTCTTGCTCTGTCTTTTCAGTGGTCGATCTGTTACATTGGCGGGATCTGAAGCAGTCAGGACTGGTGTTCGGCAGCGTGTTGCTGCTGCTGTTCTCTTTAACCCAGTTCAGTGTGGTGAGCGTTATTGCGTATCTCGCTCTGGCTGTCCTCTCCGCTACCGTCAGCTTCCGAATCTACAAATCAGTCCTGCAGGCAGTGCAAAAAACCGACGAGGGCCACCCCTTCAAGTTAGTCCGAATCTCAAGTTTGTCGCCTTCATTTGTGCGTATTAAGCGATGAACATGTTCATCCATTCTCATGGTTTCTCTCTTTTTCAGGGCCTATCTGGAGGTGGAGATCGCTCTCTCTGCAGATCAGATCAGTAAGTATGTGGATAAGACTCAGCTGTACATCAACACTACCGTGAAGGAGCTTCGCAGGCTGTTTCTGGTTCAGGATCTGGTCGACTCCATTAAGGTGAAAACGGCTACTAATTTATTCATTTACGAATATTACATTACCAAATTTTCGATGATACTATTGCAATTTCCATTTGAAAGCCAAAGATATAGTATTAAAGGAATAGCTCGCTTAAAAATGAAAATTCTGTCATCATTTACTCACCCTCAAGTTGTTTCAAACCTGTTCGAATTTCTTTCTTCTGCACAAAAAGAAGATATTTTGAAGAATGTCAGTAACCAAACAGTTGGTTCATCAACTATTTGGTTACCAACATTTTTCAAAATATCTTCCTTTGTGTTCAACAGAAGAAATTTATTCAGGTTTCATTTTTAAGTGAACTATTCCTTTAAAGGCACACTCAATTTTGCTTCACATCAGTCTATATACAGACTTTTATTGGAATGGATGTAGTAGGTTTCAGTTACAGATGTGCTGTTATATTTGTTAAAGGGGTCATATGATGATTCTAAAATAAACATTATTTTGTGTATATTGTTTAATGCAATGTCTTCATATGGTTTTAGGTTCAAAAAGTCATTATTTTACACATACTTTACATTATTGCTGCTCCTCTATGCCCCGCTTTTCTGAAATGCTTTAAAATTCTTAAAGGTCCCTTGACATGAAATTTTCACTTTTGGACGTTTTTTGAAAATTAGAGAAAATTAGCTAGGAAGTACGTACGCGTGAGCACAATTTGAGTTTTTCCTAGAGAAATGTCATGGCTTGTAAACGAGCGAAGCATGGCAGTTGATCAGTGTTTGGATTTGAACAAAACACAAAAGTATTTTTTAGTTCCTTCATCCGAGCCTCTGAAGAAACAATGGGTTAATTTTATTTTCTCTGGAAATGTGCCGACACAACTTCTTAAAGTTTTTGTAACTCAATGAACGACTGAAAATAAATCAATCGAGCTACCAAGCAACAATTTCTGATGTGTAGCCTAATTGTTCAAGTTCAGACAGGTAAGTTAATCTTTCTCTCAAAATCGTTCAATACTGTTTATGCATTAGTAAGTCAAGCCAGTGACTAAAATATCAACTTCACATAGTTTCTTTTAGTAGGATGAAAATAATCTTATTTAAATTCTGAACAAATTATACAGAAAGCGATCAAAGAACAATCTTTCCACACAGCATGAGTTTATCTGGACAACTCGTTATGAAATCAATGACGCACGTTACACTGCACAACGAAGCTCTTACTGTATGTACATCATCGTGTTTGCATTAGTGAAAGCATTAGAGATTGCAGAAAACTGCGTTGCAATGATAAGATCTTCATTCTCGTGATCAACAGACTGCCCTCTTCTGCTCATTGCTCATCACAACAACATTTTATGTGAGGAATAGATCTAAATATTTTAAAAACTACTCACGATTTGTTAATCTCGATAGCTGTAATAGTAAAAACCTATAATAGCTGTAGTAAAAGTATTCGAGAGAGTTTCACAAGTAATATGTAGCTATTTCATATGCAAGCATGTCATCCAATCACTGCAGTGGCCGGTTACACTGAATCCCACGGCAGACACGCCCCTTCAAATCAGAGGCTAAAATCAGGCTAGGAAAATGTCCTTTTATTTCTAAATTATGACTATTTTTTATCTAAAAAATATACTAACATTATAAGGGCAACCCAGGAATAATAATAAAACAACCCCATGTCTGGGGACCTTTAAAATATGAAAATATACTTAAGCTGTGTCTGTGAGTCAGAAGCGCCAGACTGTAGTTTGCAAAGACGGAATTGTCCCACTTTTTAAAATCAGCCTTTGTGCACAGCTGGCCTTGTACTCTCCCAGGTTTTGGAAACAGTCCTCCGAAAAATGCATAGCACACAGTCTAATATTTTGGTTGTACTGTTCTGGAACAGTGTTGTTAATAAAGCTAAACCACTGTTTTTCTAATTGTGTCGTCTTTTTGAAGGCCAAACAAAGTAGTTCGGCTTTTGCAACGCAAAACACAGCGTCTCCACCACACGGCGGCAACAATAACATAGCAAGAATAAAAGTTAAACCTTCTTTCTTTGCGTATACATTTGGGTGGTGGGTTATGAAACTCTGCCCCCACTCATTGACATAAATTTGTGGATGCATTTGAACGAAGCGTTATAGCAAAGGCGTGGCTAAGCCTTAACTTTTACAAAGAATATCTCTTTGCGTTTGAGCTTTGTAACTCTGCAGATCTTATACATGCACAAAAAGCTACATAACACCCTAAAGATAAAGGAAAACAGGAAATCGCTTCATATGAACCCTTTAAACACCAAAAGTGGCCAATCATTTTCGAGGTTGATTTCATTAGGTCATGTGATCTCAAAGATGAGTGGCACCCACCAAATTTAGAGTGATAGAGCTGTTTTAGGCCCCTGATATGACTGCAGTCTTCATCTCATGTATAGTAGGTGTGTATCTTTTTAAAAGATATTTAAGTACTTTTCATTTTGTTAGGCGGTGGAAAAAGTTAGTGAGTGTTAAAAGATTCAGACAAGCATTTAATGAAAACAGCTGTACCTTTGAATTGACATCATGTGTCTGTGTTTAGTTTGCAGTGTTGATGTGGTTGTTGACATATGTTGGAGCGCTGTTTAATGGCCTGACCCTGTTGATTCTGGGTAAGAATACAACACAAACATACAATGTTTAGACTCGGTATGAAGTCTCTTATGCTCACCACTGCTTTTATTTGATGATATATACTGTAAAACTGTAATATTGGGAAATATTATTACAATTTTAAATAACTGTTTTCTATTTTAAAATGTCTTGTGTTGGCTAAGCTGAATTTTCAGCATCATTACTCCAGTCTTCAGTGTCACATGACCAAATCATTCTAATATCCTCATGTGCTGCTCAAGAAACATTTTTTATTATCAATATCGACGTTGAAAACAGAATATTCTGAATGATATTTGTTTGGAGATTGAAGATTAAAGAACGGCATTTATTTATAATATAATTTTTTGTAACATTATTAATGTCGTCACTCTCAGTTTTGATTAATTTAATGTGTCCTTGCTGGATAATTTCTTTAAAACAGTAGTGTACACAGTACACACTATTACGGTTCTAAACCAGCATTTACAGCTGATTAATTTACAGCTGTCTTGAAATTTTAAAGAAATGTTTGATAACCTTTCTCGTATATCAGCACTGATTCATGATCGTTGTTGATGTTCTATGAACTGCTCAGTAGTTTCTATTGTGTGAGTGTTTGCTGTCTGATTTCCAACCATATCTTAAGTACACACTTCCATGGCAGGAAGGTTGGTGATGTCACCAACACACACACTGCTGTAGGTCAGGGTGTTATAACCTTAAATGATGATGCAGCATTCTGGGAGGGCAGCTCATTTGTCTATCTCTCTGTTGTCCTGACTGTATTTCTCCTTTTTGTTTCTTTCTTTAGCTGTAGTTTCCATGTTTAGCGTGCCAGTGGTTTATGAAAAGTACCAGGTAATGTTCCCCCCAACAAACATTTTTCTTTCTTTCTAAGGTCCATGTTGTGCCACAATATCAAAATGCCTGATGTTGATTGCTATACCAGTAAAATTTCATGATGCTCAATGCAAATTTTGAGCAGTAACTAATAACTAATGCTTGAACATTTTTAAAAGTTACATTAAATTAAAATAAAACTCGTTTATTTTGAAATTATTCTTACAATTAAATAAACATCTCTAGACTTTTCTATATTACTTTATAATAATATAGTAAATAAACAGTGAATGGTATTTCTTTTGGTATTGTTTTTTTGTACTGAGCATATGGACAATGTATGGTTTCGTATGGACTTTGTACCAATATACCAATGCATTTGACTTCCATATTGTCGTCTATTGTGAATCCTCATTCTCTTTCTCTCCCTTTCAGACGCAGATTGATCAGTACTTAGGGCTGGTGCGCACCCAGGTTAACTCAATAATGGGAAAGTGAGTTCTTTATTACTATTAACGAACCTTAAACCGTGTTGGGTCTACATAAATTTGATACACATTTCAGTTATTAGTTAAAATTAGCAGTCTAATTGTTTGTTTACATTTCAGGATTAGAGAAAAGGTTCCTGGGGCCAAAAAGAAGGAATAAACTCTTTGCTTCTGTACAAGTAAACACTATAGCCAGTAAAAACTACAACTTTTGCCAGCACTGAAGGACAACAACTACACAGGAGGCCAATATATCACATCAAAAAATAATGATAAAAAAGCATCAACAAAAAAAAGATGGTCATGTTAATGTAACGGCACCAATAAACCCCCCTCCCCTGTTGCCAGTCACAGGTGAAGCCCTGCATAAATTACTAACACTGATTCACATTAATGACACCTTGTGGGCGATCGTAGAGTTATAGATATACCAGAGGGACACACACGCAGTGCTTCTCTCTTTCATTGCTTCCGATTTTTAAGTGCATGAAGTCCAGTCTTGAGTAAATATTTGCTATCTCTGCAGTGCTCTTCCTCTCTCTGCTTTATTTTGCAGTGCATATTTCCTGCTGTAAAACGTGACATGAAAATCATGCCTGTCATATAATCTCCTGCTGCCATGTCGATTAATCGCTTAATTCAACGTCACTGCTAGAGTGGCTCTGTGTACAGACATACTTATTAATATCAAGTTGAATTGTGGATTTTTTTTGTGTATTCGAGCACAATGATAATTTGAGGATGTTATTACTAAATGTGTAACTGTAATTTTTGCAGAATTGTAGGGATACGTGTAGGTGTTTAAAGACATGCTTTGTGGTCCTTCTCTAGGGCAAATGATGGTCAGACTGCAGAGCTAAACTCTGTGCAACTTTGTACGATGTTCAGTGTTCAGTTATTTTAAGGTCTTTAACTATTTGCACTCGGTATTTAATTGACGAATGAGAAAAATAAATGTTCCTTAATGTAAGAGGGTTGCTGTCTTGTCATTCATAGGAAATTTTGAGAAAGTTAAAGGGATAGTTCACATTGAAATCAATTTTTGATATGTTTTAGCTTACCTCAAGGGCATCCAAGATGTAGGTGTCTTTGTTTCCACAGTATTTTCAATTTTGACATTTTTCGGTCAAACCGGTGTTGTCTGTCAGTCATATATAATGCAGGGAATGGGGGTCCACCTCAAAGAGCATGCACAGAGAAGTCCAAATTAAACATTATTTAATGACTTGTAAATGTAAGTACACATTGATGGCCTAAGAAACGAAACGAGCAGTTCGTGTGAGAAAACGAACAATATAGTTTTTAGTACCTCTTGGTAACAGCCGTCGAACTAATCTGAATCAGAAGTCCAACTGAACCTTCTCCAACTTTGCGCCGGAAGTAATCTCTCGCGCGTCTACTTCACGCAATGTTTACACAAATGCTGCGTCCCAATTCGCTTACTACGCCCTAAAAGTATGTACTCTTTTTGTGAGGAAAGGGTAGGCTACATACTTTTGAGTGTGTAGCAAAAGAGTAGGCAAGCTTTGGGACATACTATCACGCCATCTTTAACGGACAGCTCTGTCGCGTGCTGCGTGCATCCTGTCACCGTAACTGCCCTGTCGATCATCTTGTCACAGTTAAAATCCTCCATTCTATCTAATTTTATTTCCTACCGTATCGGAGAGCACGTTCATCTGCCAGTTGTGGGTCTTTCATTTCCTCCTCGTGTTTGCAATTTGAATATAATGATGCATTTAAAACGTATAATGGCTAAACGTGTCTTTACAAAAGTTCACAATGCTGCTGCAAATGCAATATAATGTGGACAACATTGAATAAATTCATTTTCGTCAGGTTAAATACTGATAATTAATCACTCAAAGCTCTTTATCTAAACCTCTCTACACAACCGCGGGGACTCGCGCGTCCTCTGTATCGACTACGTGTCTGTAGTTTTTTAACACTTTTTACTCGCCGTGCATCGATCTACTCTTCGGATTCTGACCGGAAAAAGTAGACCATCCGGGTATCTTTGAAACACACTTATTTCAACATACTACGATTTGGGACGGATAGTATGCGAATTGGGACGCAGTAAGAGATTTCGTGAGTTTTACCAAAGCCAGTCTGGTTTTATCTTTCACTAAACATATTTACATATATGGGAAATGGAAGTCGCAATGGAAGACGATTTCGATATATGTAAACTATAGTTTTTCTAATTATAGTTTTTCAAGATGGCGGAACTACATTAAGGCCTCTTTGGACATACCCGTCCCACGTATATAAAGATAATATATTCATTGTTTACGAAATTAGTCAGATAGTCAGATAATTAGCAGAGGTATTTGTACACCATTGAGGACATATTTATTAATAAAAATATTGATTTTAAATAATAAAATACATTTGAAAAAGTACACATTGTCCCTTTAATTTGCTTAGCCTTATCCAACATTTTGGTTTTCTTAATTCCAAGGGAATTAAAACAATCATTTAACATAGAGTTGGGCAAATGTTGGGTGTTTTAATAAACATTGTTGAATCTTTTCCTCCTAGTATTGTGTATGTTTTTTTCCATTATAGATTTGGACAGGCTGTGCACCAGAACACCTTTGTAACCTATGGCCTTAAAACCTTTTACTCTTGTACCTTTAAAAATACTTAAACCTTCCCATTCAGGCTTTCTTAAACCAACATCAAAGAATGTTCACAAACTTTAGTCTCTTGTTTCCATGTTTTTTTTTTTTATCTATTCATTGGTGTTAAAAATACAAACCTCAGAGTAAAATGAAGACAACAGTATTAAACACAAGTAGCGACATCTTTTCCTCCAAATTGTGATATCCGAGTGAAACAATGTCAAAAAGAAAAAATAGAGGGCTGCAGGACTTGTTCTATTCGTTGATTGTTGATCAGACGGAGGCAGATCTGAATGCTCGCTTGCAGTTGATTGTTAGAAATGGACAGTGTTTAATCAGACTAGGAGTCCAGCATGTCCCTAGTCTTGTCATTTAACTGGAAGAATGATTTAGGACACAAATGAACTGTGTGCATGGATAAATCTTTCTAAATAAGACCAATAACATATAGGAGGGTGAATATACATTTCAAGCCAACATCAAAAATAAATGAAATTCAAGAGCTTAAAGTGGAGGGGGAAATAAGCTTTTTTTTAATAATATAAATAAAAAAAATTGGTCTATTCCTCACATAAAGCTATTGTACAGTTTCAAGACTTATGATGTGTGCACTATATCCCATGGAAAACTTTTTCTGAAGGAATTTTTTTTTTTTTTTTTTTTCAAAAAGAAGTCCAGGAATTTGAACAAATTATTTACTGTACACATCAAACTACAGCCAGAACATTAAACTCAAATTACAACTTAATTCAACCCGACATCATTTTAAAACATTACAAACATAGCACTAAAATTAGAGAGAAAAAAATGCAGCCGAATGCTATTGCAATAAAGACTGAAGAACCCTGCATCGTGCAACTGAAATTCTTTTTCTCAAGTAACAAAAATGAATAAAACTAAAAAACGGCCCATATTTAATAGAAATAACATTCAAGCATTTCCATCATCAACTGGTTCAATAACACTGAAAACCCAACAGAACCGCCTAATGTGATTCTGGAAGAAAATGATTTTCTGCAATGATGCTCATCACATGTTTAGTAAGGTGATGGGATGCAGCTGAAACAGTACGCCTTTGGATTTCCCATCATCCTTTGCCTGTAGCTCCATCTGCTGGGAGCGATCCACCTGATGACACACATGGTGAAGAACCCAATGAACTCAATTCTACTGAGGGGCTTTATGAACTGAAGGCTTTAGGAATGGAGGATCCTTACCAGGTTCCATTTCTTGAATTTCTCGTAGTACACAGGTGTGCACTCTGGTCTGGGAGGGTTTCTAATGAACAGTCTAAAGATAAAGTGTGTCACATGCATCAATGATAGTTTTTACATGTCACATACACTCTCAAAATGTCTTTGGAGGGGGATGGATGGAGATTGAGTACCTAACTAGTCGTTCCCGGGCCTCCTCCTGAAGACTGCTGATCTTCTCAGGGCTCAGGTTCAGTAAGCCGTGTGGTCCATCACACACCAGCCTGTTCATTGAGCTTCTCAATGCATTTATCTACACATACACGCATAGTCTTGCTTAACCAAACATTTTACCTCACAACTTAGTCTGGTCAAGAACCCATTCACTTATACAAGAAAGAGCCTGACATTAGGGCTGGGCGATAAGGCCAAAAAATCGTATCCTGGTATTTTTTCACTGAATGGTGATACACTTTATACCCTTTTCTACTTGAAAAAAACCCTACTATTTACTAGTAATTACTATACTATTTACTAGTAACTATTTATTAAAATAAAAATGTATTTTAGCAATATATAGCTATATTTTAGCCATGATTATTGCACTCTGTGCTTGTTCACTGAAGTCTGTGAAGTTTAATTAACTATAAAGGATAAACTATACACTTTAACTAGATCTTACGAGTTATTTTGAAGCAGTTAATATAAAGCATGTTTCATGTTTAGGACAGAGCTCACAGGTTTCCTCCACTATTTTTCACTACCGTATTACGATATAAATAGTATTGCCGCATTCTGTATCATTCATACATATCGTACAAACTCGATAGACCACCCAGCCTTACCTGACACACAAAGCTGATTGGTAAATGCATTACCTCACACACACCAAAACATACCTCAGTGATGTCTTCAATATCAAACTTGACATCAAAAGCAAGTTCAATGTCATGTTCAGGAAGCACTGCTTCTTGGGAAATGGGATTCCAGCCCAGGCCGCACAGAGCACCAGTAAAACAGGTTCTTTCCTCGTTAGTGCTGCAAAAGAAGTGTACTTGCCATTAGAAACTTATATGTTAAATGAACATTTAAATATGACAAAGTATACTCAGGAAGTTAAACAAGTCTGGGTTGAAACCTGCTACCTACAAATTCTAAAGTGGTTCATAAGCATGTATAGCCTTATAGGCCCACTGAAGCGCCTTAAAACACAGCATTATTTAATGTGTTGACAATTCCCAGTGAAACGGGAAGACAAGGCGGAATATATAGAACAGCTCCTCCCCCTTTTCAAAATAGCCAATAGCATTATATTACAGCTCGGCGAGCACGGTAAAGCCACAGTTTCCTAATCTCTAACCGTTTCTCCTCATCTCCTCCATATCACTTTAAAATATAGCATTCTGTGCAGAGTTCAAAGGGGTCTGATGTTTTCTGTTCTGCGCCTATTAAGTGCACCTTTTTTCATTACTTTGAATGTGCCATTCACCATGTAGAAAATAGTAAATGTGTGGCGCACACTAGCTTATAGATAACAGTTAAGGCAAACATATTCATACTAAAAAAAAAAAAGTAAACAAACTTCAAATTTGATTTCATGGGGACTTTAACATCTTGTTGTGAAAATGTATTGTGATTGGATTTTTTTTTTTTTGCTTTACAGACTGATGTGAAAATATTTATGTAAGTGAGAAAGCATTTGCATGGTGACTGTTACCGCAGTTCCATGACAGGGGTGAAGAGCATAGTAACAAGGGAGGGAAGGCCGTGGATATGAGGCATCAGAGATGTTTCCTTCAGCAAGATATGAGAACCTGCACATGAATTATATATACACACAAAAACAAACATCATTCTAATAAGAAACATTTCTTATTATCAATGCTGAAAAATAGTTTTGTGGAAATTTTCAATGAATTAAAAGTTCAAAAGAACAGTATTAATTTGAAATAGAATAACATTATAAACATCTTGTATAACATTATAAATGTCTTCAGTCACTTTCAATCAATTTAATCTGCCCTTGCTGAATAAAGTATTGGTGTGGGCGATATGAGGTTCAAGTTCTTATATCATGATACAAGTTATTTGTTGACGATAACAATATAGATCACAATAGTCAATTTTTCTTTAAATAAGGTTAATGGCAA